CGCGCACCCTTCGTGTAATAGGAGGCATTGTTCCTATATTGGCTCTCGCGCATCAATCTCGGATCGACCGGTTTGTAATATCGTCGTCCATTGATGGCCGCTGAGAAATTATTCAAACCATTCTTTGATGCTGATTTAGTTGATTTTTTACACGCGCAAAAATTCGCACAATATCACGCACCGTATTTTAGCTCATGCATTGGCCGCAGAATATATCTGCGTATTAATGTATTACAAATGATCAAAGCACCATTTATTTGCGATTTTAATTATCTGCGTCATAAAAGTAATTACATAGTCAAAATAGGTAGTATATAAAAATAACAATTAAAAAATTTTAATGCCAATTATAAATAAAAATGCAACAAAAAATGTAAGTAAATAAAAACATAAGAGATGATTACAAAATTTGAAAAACAAATGAGCTGAAATAATAGAAAAGATAATTCTTTATCTATGAACATTATATATAATGCTATTTAGCTTCGCTGAAAATGATTTTCTTGAAAAGACGAAAGATTACCACGGAGACGTTCATTCGATAAAGCGAACATCTCCTCATCTATTCGCCGCTTATTCTCATCGTCCGTGAAAAGCGCAATCGCGATTTCGATTAATCTGCGAACCGGTTGTAAGGGCCGACGTGAGATTGTCTTCCCTTGTAAGGGCACGGAAGGAGACTCGATATTCCGGCTTCGTCGCTCGGCTTTCCCGGCACGGAATTATTCCGAAGGGTGGCGCGGCCAGAATTAAGGCTTCTTGCGGCATAAAAAATCTGTGTAATCAATTATCGAACCTTTTACCCCATATTTCACGGCCAATGAGTCGCCACCCCCGCTGGCGCCTTTAAGCGGGCGAGACTTACCGACCCTCTCCCTCGACACTTTTTAGCTGCGATCCTTGGTCCTTCCTTCTCGCGGCCTCACCCTTATCTCCTTCCTGCTCCTCCGTTGGCTCTTCGGGAAGGAGAGGGATAGCCGAGTCTTTGTTTGAGATATCAAATATTTATTTTCTTAAATAACGCAGAAGCCCAGTAGGGCGGATCGCCAGCATTTTTTGCTTTAATAAATTATCAGCGATTATTGGCCGCGTTTGCCTAAGCAAGGCTGCTTTTTCTTTTTCTTTTCTCTTTCTGCAAAAGATTTCGTATTCCTTTGTGGTTAAATCAGCTGAAATCGATCTAACTGTCTGAGAGAAATAAATTAAGTTTCGTTAAAAATTGCCAGAAAAAATTTCAGCTAAAAATTGCGATAGATGTGTATTATACATATTTTAGTTGAACAAAGTATATTATATATGTATATCTGAAAGAAAAAAATATTGCATATGGAATAACGGAATTTAAGTTTGTTAAAACGCAAAGAATTAATTTTACAGGCGAGTTCACCATTTTTTAATTATCATACGGTATGTAGGGAATTAATGCGGAAATGGAATGTATACATTTTTGGAACTATCTCGAGAAATTTTCAAACCCATCGGTTAACGTCTCGCCAGCTAATTATTCACGAGGCAGTCGCGCGTTGCTTGGCCGCTCGAGAAAGCCTCATCGAAGTGCAAAAGGATACGCGTTACGTAAAGGGTACCAACGAGAATGTGGAAGGGTGCGCCCTTTGACACAACATTGATGTAATATTAATATAAGCGAGCAAAACTCAAAGGACATACGTCTTCATAACGAGTTCTTGTTCGCGTGTATACAAACGCGCTTTACGACATGCAGATGCGCGATAGTAAAATAAACAACAAAGAAAATTCGACTAAAGTAGAAAGATACTTAAATAATTTATTGCTACTTTTGCTCGAGCTGATTATTAAAAAAGATTTGAACATTATATCAGTTAATCTCACAATTTTCATTGGTTTTAATTACATAATTATTTATAATTTTAATTTATAATTTAATTATTCAATGTCGATATGTAAAGTGTTTTAAAATTTGTCAAAATTTGAAAGCACATTCACACTTCATACATTCATACATCATATCAGAAATTAATTCGCCGCTCTAAACGATCATGGGAATGCCATTCTTTCTTCTTCAGTCTCTGTTTGTGCCGACTCGATCTCCCAAGTATTTTGAAGGTTTTCCGTTCGACGATGCAAAGTAAGCATGAAAACAAACGTTATGACCCTAACTGAGAAGCGAGGAGCAACGATGCGCGTGCACAACACATGTGCGGTCTGGGAAAACGAGCGCCAAAGTGCCAGATGAAAACCGTGGAAAAACTCAACGCTGCATATATAGAACGCTCTGCGTTTTGCCGCGAGCGGATTTTCCGACAAGAGAGTTGGAGGTGGCGCGGAGAAGGGTAGCGAGAGGGGTTGGCCGCGAGAGACGACAACGTAGACGACGTCGACGACGACGACAAGGACGATAGAGGGGCTAAAAGGTACTTCTAATGGCATTGTGCGCGTTCAAACAAACACGTGGAATGCTTAGTAGTTTTTAAAATTGCGGGGAAGTCTCTGCCCTAGCTCGCGCGCTTTTTTCCATTTTCTCTTCTTCTCGCTCCTTCTATTTTCCGGTTAGGTGCGTGCATACGCGGAGGATATCAACGTGTTGTTAATGTTGTATCGTGAGATTTACGTTATAATAATAGCTAATTGATTCGATCAGATGCAATAATTTAGAACATTAATGTTTATGATATTAACCTATATAGAAAATTGATATATTTTAGAATATAGTATAAAATACAAATTTTTAAGAAATATAATATAATAACTTTCTTCTTCAATTTACTAAAATAAATAAAAAAATATTAAAAGAAAATATTTGATAATTAAGAGGCTATATCGACAAGTATAAAAATCGTACGCCGCATTCGTATCTCATCGACTTTGTACACAAAGCACCGCCATACAGACTTTTCATTAATGCCTGAATGAATAAATGCCACCGTGCCTCTCCCTTGAATTCTTAATGCAGCAAGCTCGCTGAAAGTACTCCCGGGCCTTCAAAATATCTTTAAGAAGTTTAAAGTCTTCCCTCGATAACATGTAAATATTGCATGTAAAGCGCGACATCAAAGAGATTCTTCTACGGTATAATGCCTTAAATTTCGGCACAAGGAGAGATTAAGCGCACCAACACATACACACACATACACACACACATATATATAGGGAGGAGATAAACAATTTTAAAATGTCCGTCATGAAAATATGTTCATCCTATACGTTCAGAGATTAATTTCCTCTACTAAAAACATCTACTTCTGCGATTAAAAGTGTTTGATGCAATTTTAAAAGAAAAAATATTTAAATATATCACAAAAATCATATGAATTTGTAACAACATGTTTCATGTTTAAAATAAATAAAGATCAAAGAAATAGAAATATGCTCGTTATACTCAAATATTATTTATTCAATAGTTACTTTTGCAAATTTTACGATATCTTTGGAAAAATTGTACCACGGTTTCTATTGCATAGTTTCCGAAGAGAATTTCTGGAGATTATGCGCAGTCACTCATCATGCATAATCATTTCTGAGTGCCTGAGTAATGCTCAAGTGTATCGCAGTAAAGGAAAGGTCACTGGTAAGAGGACGACGAAGAGAGGACATCGTTCGTCTAGCAAGAACTGAGTTCGACGCTCGCCAAAGAGACCGCAGAATCTGTACTGGCCTCTCTGCCAGGACGTTCCTGAAAACTTTGTTACATTTTTGGTCGAGTCCGCATACGCGTTGGATGAGTAAGTGGATCAAAGGGACACAGGAGAATTCCAGGATGACAGAAGGAAGAGAGAGTGAGGCGCGCTGGAAATTGGCGGACTCTTCTATTGCTCTATCTTTGAGTGCTTCGTCGAGCTTTCTTTCGATGCCACGGTGGAAAAACCTTTCCAAAGTTCTTCAGTACGCCACGAACAAAGGGAATATAGAGCGAGTGTGGCTAGTGGCGTGAAGAGGTGAACAGGGTGAAGAGCAGATCGGAATTGGTAGAGGAAAATTAAAGTTAAACATACAAATATACATGTAATTCGCACAATAACTGATTTCAATAAGACAAAATTACTTTTTGTAATCTTTCTAGAAGAAGACTATCCAAATTCTATAATTAATATAATTAATTGACGTTTAAATATATTTCAAAAACTGTGCTGCGAAAAATATATGATATTTCTAAATAAAAAAATAAATTTACGCGATACCATTTTTATTATTTGAAAAATTCGAGTAAGTACTAATAAAAAATCTCGGTTTTCGTGTAAACTCAAATTCTAAATATTACAAAATACTACGATTTTCCTCCATCGTCGTGAGAAATTTCAAATATCTTAAAAAGAAAGTGGAAAATAATTAGAATTTTGTGGAAGGAGGCCAGAGCTTGTGGCAACAGAGCGTCAAAGTCGTGCATTGTGCATGAAAACGCGACAATGGCGTGCATGTATTTCTTACGGGAAAAACGAATTGTGCGCTGCGTCTAGTAGAAGAGAGAGAAAAACAGAGAATACGGGAGAAAGAGATGAATTGAGGGAGAGAGCAAAAGTGGACAAAGAGAGAAAGCGAGAGGCTCCAACGTGAGTCGCTCGCGCTAAAACCACGTTTAAAACAAAGGGTGCCGCCGGCGAATTAAGAACGATATTTTAACGCTCGACTTAATTGCATTAAATTGCAAGTGAGAAAGAGAGTGAACGACGAAGGGAGCTATGAAGAAAAAATGTATAACTGAGTGAATAAAGCTAAAAGGGACGAGACGCGATGACGTTTTCTGAGGATGGTGGCTATTCTACTTCGTGATTGGGTATAAGCGGAACATATCGCGCTTTCCAAGTATTACTTATTCTGAACACATGCGAAAAAGAGAAATTAAATATTAAAATTATCAATTAAGCTAAAGTGAAATATTAAAAAGGAAGGTATCACACTTTTCTTTCACTAAATTGAAATATAATTCTATATAATTGGAAAAAGTTCTAATAGTGTTATTACGCTTTTACGCAATGTAAAAAAAATAGAAGAATTAAATGTTTACAAATGTTTAATGTTGATAATAATAATAACATTATGTTATATAACATAATTCGAATGTAACATAATTAATTAACTAAATTATAATATAATTTCCGGAGATATTAGACACAGTCGTAACACAACACAAATTGAATCAGTGCATCGTTAATTATGTAGATTAACCGTACAATTACGAGAGTATGTATACAAAATCTATAATCGTTTGTAAATAAGTCAATAGAATTGCAAACATCTATATAAATCTATAAATTATGCAATAAACAATTATTATAATAATAAGTTTGCAATGATTATACGAAAAATTGTGCTGCAAATTTTAACATAATTGTCGTATAGTAGATTTGTTAAATTTAAACACAAAAACAATGTATTTTACTCAGTAACATTTGTTTTGAAAATTTTTTTGGCTACAAAAAGTAGAAGAAATTGAGATGGAACAGACATTTATATTTTTGCCTAACAAATATCGGAAGATAAATTCTGAGTTTCGCGAACTATATCATCAGTTTTACAAATTAAACTCCCACCAGAAGTTAAATCTTGACTCTTACACACTTTACTCTCGGAAACTAAATTTTCCATTTTACGAACGCTATTTCCAGCAGAAACTGAACTGTCGGAAAAAGCCGCATTAATCGAAGTATTCGATACTTGGCAATGCCATTTCTTTTCATGATTTTCCAGCGTGAGAAGACTTCTAAAATACTTGCCGCATTTCACGCAGTAAAGATTGCACTTCTCGTGGCTTTTCCGATGCTTGTTCAACAGATCCTTACGTGTGAACGTTCTGTTACACATTGTGCAGGAAAACTTGTCAGGGTTCACATGTAGCACGTTATGCCTCGTCAAGTTGTCCAACCTCGTGTACTTCCTGGTGCAAATGTCACAGGTGAACTTGGTTCTCTCCGAGTGACATCGCTGATGGTACTTCAGGTATCTCTTTTCGGCGAAAGTCTTTTTGCAAGCGCAGCAGGCGATCTGATTGCTGTCATTCTTCTTCGCATCCATATGACTTGTCAATTCCTCGCATGTCGCGAATTCCTCCTTACAGTAAAGGCAAACGAACTTTTTCGCTCGCTTGTTCCTCTGTATATTTTCCAGAAAATTTGGATCAGTCATAATCTTGTAAAGGAAAGAGTCCTTTAATTTATCCTCCGGCTCGGCGGAGGTATCTGTTATGATTTCATCAACGCGATTGGAAGCATCCTTTGTTGACAGATTCATGACCTCCTCGTTAATGTTGTTATCGTTAGTGAGCAATGGTAATGTGCTGGTGGATGTGGCCAAGGTTAATTCATTGCTCGAAATAGTGGATAACGTATTTGGAGAAAGAATTCTTGAAGATGATGCGTGATACGCCTGTTGAGCAGAATTGATTTCAATATTAATCAAAATAAGGATATAAATATTATTTAAAATTATATATCATACCGCGTGTTATATATAGTTCTGTAATCAATTTTAGAAATATTTTAATCGTATCAAGTGATAATTATTGAGAGTTATTTTGTAACTAAGTGTATTATATAACTATTTATAGATTAATTAACATTTATCGATTAATTAAACATTTTGTTAAACATCCTTGTTAAATTTTTAATACGTAAAATATAATGCGTAATAAATTATAGACTTCGCAAAATTATGTCATCGTGGAAAATGTCAAATAATTACCTACCTGAAATGAATCTAGTGTGTATGTAAAATTATAATCTTTCTCAACATCTGTATCACTTTCTTCGTCTAGAAGGCCTTCTGTTGCAATCCTGATACTGTTTTGCAGTATTCTGTGTCTTGGAACTCTTTTAATTCTCATATTTACACTACAAAACAATGAAAATAATAATGAGATAAATATTATATGACAATAATACGTAACATATTAATTAAAAATTTTATAATAAACAAATGGACACTAAATTATAAGCTACATAATGTGTAATGTAGTAGAATTAAATTATAACTTAATAATACAAATAATTAGTATCAATTTAAAATAATATAACTTTAATAATTAAATAAGTATTGATTGTATAAATATATATAAATAAATTTAAATAATTATAATAAATAGTTAAAAGTTGAAAATTGTTACAAACTTGGAAACATGCAATTATTTTGTAAAGTAATATTTAAACTTCAAAATTGTACTCACATTGTCAAGATATTTAATAATTCGATAACTCTTAGTAGAAAATATAGCACTTGACACTTAGCACACACTTTTACTGATTTATAAGATCTTCACGCCGTGAAACATACTATACGAAATACCGATGACGACTGACGAGATTTATCGCACCTGACTTGGAAACTGTCGCTCGATTGACCTCAGCGCGACTTTCGTGATCGACACGACAACAAGAACCCTAGCGGAGTCGCCGAAGAATCTGAGTTTGCAAACATACATATAGTCGTGAATTCGTAGAAACAGATTACCACAAAAACTGCTTTCTTCAGCTTGTAATTTGTTTTTGCACAGATATGTGTATTCATATCCAAATATATTTAAGGAAAATTATTGAATGAAATAATATATGTTCTGCGTAAAAATGTAACATCAAAAACTTAACATAATAGTAATATTGCAATTATATATCCATAATTTTGTAAAATTATTAAAAATTCCAAGTATTTCAATATACATTTTATAGCCATATATCTATAATTATAACTAGTTAGAATTATATTTTAATTATTATCTCGAATACAATAAAATAATAGTAACAAAGCATGTAATATTAATTATTTAATAATTAATGTATTTCAGAAATATAACAGATATTAATGTTTTAATAGAGTATCAATTCTTTATTCACGGTTGGGTTTGAGTAGCATTTTATATATTATATATACATGGCCAAAAAAAGGCAAAGTGCTTCTCTTTTCGGATATATTTTTATAACCCATTTTATTCATTCTGCAAAAAGAGAGAGAACAGCGTCGCCGCGCCGAACGGAGTAAATCGACACGATGCTAAAAAAAAATCGAGACATAGAACGTCGAGATAAAAGAGCAGGGGGTAAAAAGGGAGAATACGAAGGGGTCAAGCATAAAATTGACAAAAAAAATTCTCGCTGTTTGGTACGATGTCCCTGTAGCCATCCTTGTACAGCTCCGGTCGTTAATACGACATAAGGAGGAGGCAGGGTTAAGCGAGGGTGAAGCGAGGATTTTTAATTGTAGTTCGCCCGATATAACCCCGCTCGACCCGTCCGTATTGTCATACCGGGGTGGCGCTTTTCTTTATTTCCCCAGTGGCTGGATGAGGTTATACATTTTTTTTTAAACTGCGGCAATGCCTCCGTCTTCTTATTAGCAAAGCTAATTGGAAATACAAATGGTTATTCACGGTAAGAAGGAAAAGGCTGTGCCGAAGAGTGACTGCGGAGTAGTAACGGGAGTTTGTAGATAGAGAGAGAAAGAGAGAGAGAGAGAAGAGGAGAGCGGACGGGGCGAAAGGAGAGGTGGTGGTATGCTTCTGCGTATTAAGGTTGTATTTGCTCCGGATAATTAGGACTTTTTCCCGACCAATTCGGATGAATAATTGATTTGCTGCTCCCTGCGCCAGTCCGGACGCGCCTGTCGCTCTTGGACCTCTTCGAATGACAATCACCCAGAGAAAAATACGAATCTTTGCGATGAAATATTCAATGCTTGACGCAGTATTATGTGTCGAGAACGAAGGGCGAAAACCCGATATCAAATAATGCAAGATAAAAGTAATAATGACAAGTTGAGTAGCTAAAAGACGATAAGTCATTCATCTAATATATTATTTTAATAAATTTCAAACAGACTTTAACAAATTTTCATGCTAAGATAATAGAAAATAAAAAACTTGCAAAATATAATAATCTTTTTGCAATTTCTAGCAATAGTCGACTTCAAATCGACCAAAGAATCTATGGATAAAAGATTTGCTAATTCAAAAAAATGTAAAGTTTGGAAAATTGAAGACGCAGCACTGAATTTAACAAACATAAAAATTTTTTTCAACATATAAATTTTATCGTACAATATCTTTTGACAAATCGTGATAAAAAAAATTGATCTATAAATCATTTACTGTCCAACGAAATCCATCGGTGGATATTTCTCACTCTTCCCCGGTTTGTTTAATAGAAAGTTTTCTTCAATTTTCTTAGCGCAAAGGCCGTCGAACGTCTCACGAGACATTTTGACACCCAGTACATCACGCTCATTCTTTTCATCTACTTATATTACGTATACAATATCTGTGTATCGAAGCTGGTTGATCCCAGTGAGTTCCCTTCCTCACCACGGAGCCATACATCATACCACCTTCTTTATTAAACTCATATTTTTCAAAAAGTCTCACCTTCGCTATCTGGAGCGCCTCCTCTCGCTCGCAACTCGGAAATCAGCTCGGGGAGAACGAAAAATTCATTTGGCACTCAAGGGTAAGATGGATATGAAAATTTTTATGCTAAAAGTGATTTACGTCCGCGCGTCGCGCCACCGATATGACTTAACTAGCTTTTTATTATAAATGATGTATCTCTCATAGATAATAAGTAAATATATATTTCGGTGTCTTTGTTCAACGAAATTCTTTACGGAAAACTCATTGATAAGTATTAATGCAATTTATGTGAATCGATCTGGAAATCGTGAAAAGTTTAAACACTCCGTTAATTAATTAGCATTGACAAATTTTCCACAAAGTTAATTTTTCGCGGTAGGTAAAAAAAAAGTATATACACGGGAATTGACGAGAGAACGGCAAAGGTTCTTTAACGAGTCAGACTTCCAAGGGATATATCGCGCGACGAGTTGTCTCTTCGTAGCGCGGGAAAGTTAGGCCACTTTCCTTCGACGCGCGCAGGAGAGATTGGCCGTTTGGCGCGCATAAAGAAGAAAGCCACCCCCTTCAGTTTGCCTTCCAGCGCGCCCTTCGCCACCTCCCCCGGTCACCCCTCACGACCCAAAACCGCGGACGGTTATAAAGCATTCTTCCAGTTTATTAGACGGAGACTCGCGGGCCTCTCTTTATATTAAGCATGTGCATTATTAATGCGCCGGTATAACCGTAAAATGCTGATGAAAAAAAGTTGCCGAGCCCCGCGGGTGTTTCTTCGGCGGCAAAGCGAAAAGAAGGAACAGGCTCCTCCGAGATTGCTGCAGCAACTTGACTGACTGACTCTTCGACTCGTCGGATATTATGTCGCGTGAAATTTCACCTCAGCGACGCTTGAAGGAATTATCCGCGATGTACAGAATAATGTGTACATGCGCAAAATCAAAGACAAATTACATTGCGAGTGACAATTAAAATTCTGTCAGCATAGACATATTATATAAAAAGCAAAGTTTGAGACGAAAATAAACATCGCATTTCGCACAATAATAGCTTTCGCTCGGCAATCAATCGGAGATATAGCTTCGCTTTCGGGAATACGACAGTCAGCTAGTTTGTTTTTTGCTTGAGCTAAACCATCTCACGCGATAAGACGGCGCGACAATCTGGCATAGCACAGGAGTTACACGCACCGGGGATTTCCATGGAAATCGATGACACCCTCGGCGACGTAACTTCGGACGAGAGAGAATCGCCGAATAGAATGCCCGTAACTTATCCAGATAAGGGGTTGTAAAACGATGCTGTAGCTATCTGCCAATACGGTCTGCTCCCCCTTCTCACGAGAGGGAAGGCCTGCATCCAGGTTGCGGGTAGATATAGGGAGCAATTTCGCAGAAATTGATGCCATTTGAATATCGCCTGCGCCGCGCGACACGCGCTTTCAAGATGGTACCGTTCGTAAAGGCGTTTACACGATTGTCGAGATCTCTATCCGTCCGTGCGCGCTTCCTCGACAAATACTGCCGAGACACATTGGTATTATATGTTTCGTGGATCGTATTTCCACTGCGGGCTGCGCGCGCGGTACTTGACGGAGAGACGGAATGACTAACGTAAACGACGGCGTCTGTTTCTCGATATTTGTTTTCCCGTCGATTGCAAATTAATTCGAAAAGATGAGATTAAAGTAACGAAATTCCGCCGCAATCGACATTATCAATTATTTTTACAGCTTCGCAAAATATCTGATTGTTCCAATATCACAGAGATATAAGTTTCTCTCATAATTACAAATTGAATTTCTTTTATACTTATCTAAATTTATTCCGGCAAGAATATCTAGGAAGAAAAATGTGAATTTCTTATAAATTCCTTCCGAATGACTTTAATCAGGGCACATCTTCGCTCCCACGTGTGTGATTATACTTGGTGACTTCCGGATACGTGCCGGGGTTACGTCACGTCGGTGTTACCGAAGTCTTGTTTATCAAGTGCGCTGCCACAGTCGAAGTATACATATACACTCTCCTCGGTGCCCGTCAATGGCGCTTCTTAGCTTATGCATAAAGCCCTTTTCGCCCATCACCCTCACGCCCCGCCGATCCCGTCTATCCGCATCCACCTCCCGCAACCTCCTCATCTTTCACGATTTCATCCCCGCCGTTTCATCGAGGCTTCAACCCCTTCTTCGACCGGTAGTGGCAGATCGGGTTGTCTCGCTCGCTCGCTCGCTCGCGAGTATTTCCACCAGGATGTATCGCAAAATCTATACCGGCCTGAGGGGGTGGGAAGAGGGGGGGCGAGGAGGGGGATAGAAGGAGGAGTGGGCGACGGTGGCGGAGGCCAGGGTGGTTTTCGAGAAGGGTGAGCCCCGTCACATTTCACTACAGACTAATAACTTCTGAATATTCATTTCGTGTTTCTCCTTGCCTGCTTGCGAACCCGTAAGCAAGGCTAATGCGACGCTCACAACGGAATGCTTGATGCTCCCGGAAATACGTCGAGAACGATAACTGAATTTTGGCGATTTCTACCGTCTTGCTTATCGTAAAGCACAAAGGTCGCGATAACGTAAATTGAGAAAAATACGATTTAATTGACAAATCGATCGGCAGTCGCTCGTGGAAATAATTGACGCGTTTGATTTCGTGTGAGACAAGTTTAAAGAATATGTACTCTCCTTCGTCGAAGCGAGAAAAACAGAGTAGCTTGGAGGCGAGGGAAACGCGAGAGACGGTCGTCATGGCAACTATGAATTAAGTAATCAATGAATTATTATTGACATTGATGTCTTCGCCCTGCTCCTCCTCCTGCTTCTCGCGATACTTCAAGACTCATAAAGCAGGTTGCCCTGCGTTCCTGATTAATACACCGGTAGTATATCTCACTGGATTTCAGGATAAAGAGATGGAAGGTCTGAAGCGAGAACGAAACGAAGCGGGTGTAGCTCGCTAGATGGAAAATGATCCGTGGCGAGTTTC